TTAAAAAATAATTATAAATTAATTATAAATTTTATAAATATTAATGATTAAAAGTATATATTTTTATATAAATTTGTAATTATTTTTTAAAAATACACTGATTTGTAATTTTCTCACTTTTACTTTGATAAGAAATACAATGTAAATAGTATTAAACATAATCACAGAGTATCGCCAAACAAATTTTAAAATTAGAAAAATAATATATAAATTTATTTTTTAAATCTAATAATGTGTAAATAAGATGTGTGGAGGGATAAAAATTAACTCGTGTGAGGTGGGCCTGCCCAATGCCTACATGAAAATAGAATTAAGGTAATAAAATAATACATTGCAATGCAACTTGTCAACTTGCTCTGACATACATATATGAGATAAGTTTTGGGCCATACAAGTAACTTATTTTCATTGGACAAAATGAGCGGCAAATTTGTCTAGGGATGTAATCTTCAATTCTAGGGGAGGAGGTATGCCTAAACCATTTTATTTATTTATTCAGTCTCATTTAGATATATGTTATTTAACTTAACTGTCTAAGTGTCCTCCGATCGTCAACCGCCGGTCGGGAGGCACTCATCATTTATTATTTTTGCAGATTTAGAATGGTGCAGTTCAATTTTTTATTAATCTCTCGATTAATATATGTGGGACAATTTTTACCTATATAAAATGATTTATTAATAATTAAAAAGATATAAAAATACCAATAATAACATTAGAAAGTAATTGGTTAAATAATCATTAATCTTAAGAAGTGAATCTAATTTTTTTTAGTTTAAATATCATTAACCTTGCAATAAATGTGGATGGTTCAATAATAATGGACCGACTTAATAAGTTCACATTGAGAAAATCACATGTTCGTTACCCAAAACAAAACCTTCAACAGACGCACGACACTGCTTTCTTTCATTTTCTCTCTCCAAACAGGCAGAATTGATTTGGGACGTGGGTTAATTTTTTAATTTTTTAATACAAGGTTAAAAAAATTAAAAAGTTTAATTTGGGGTAGACTTTTTAGTATTTTTAACTTTTTTAAGAGAAAAAATAAAATGATTATAGTTTGAATGTGATATTTTGTCTTATTGAGCTAAAAAACCTCTTTTGTTTTTTTGTGATTATTTTAGCCCAATAAGAGAATGCCAAAAATGATTTTATTTTGATGAAAAATTACTGGCAGTTCTAGAATTTTTTATTACTAGGTCAATGACTCTTATTAATATCTACCATCCATTTCAAATAATTTGGCAATAATTTAAATTTCTCAAATCAAAATAAATGAAAACTTTAGCACATTCGACGAAGGAATTCAACTTCTAATTGTAGTTGGACTTAAACAAATAAAGAGGTGATTTTTATTTTTATTTATTTATATATATATATATATATATAACAAAAGGTATAATGACTCTAAGCTAGTTATGGTGGGTTCAATTTTTACCTAATATATACATAGATATAACTTTTTAACGCTTTCTTTTTGTCAAATCTAACAGTGTCAATTGAACCTTATATGTAGAGCTGCGTCCATGACAATCAACAATATTTTAGTAAATTATGTTTCCATACCTTGTTAAATGGATGATTAATCTCATATAATGATTTACGTCATATATAGTAAATTTAAGAGTATTTAAAATCACTAATATTATAAATAAATTCGTATATAATTTTTCATAATTTTTTTAATCATATTTCACAAAATTTGTAAGAGTCCTATTAATACATAAACTCAAAAATTAGATCAATTTTCAAATCTAATGATTAATTGTTTCTCTCTCATCTCTTTATTTTATAAACTAATCATATAATTCGTACATTATTGAGGTTTCCTTTGATAACCTTAAGTTTTAGCCAAAAAAATTAAAAAGTCATTGTAAATTATTACATTATTCTCTCCACTTTTCTGTACATCTCATAAAAAACTAATAAAATAACTTGTTTCCAAACAAGACCTCTACAAAATATATTTAAAAAGGAGACTTATAATATATGTTGAATACATTACTTTGGCTTGTTTTGGCAACTCCATTAAAAATAGTTCTTTTTTTTTATTTTTTGATTTTTTTAAGTCACATCACTTTTTTACATTTTTATATATATTTTAAAAAAAATCAAAAAGTCAGCTTTTAATCTAATTTTCAAAATTTGTAACTAATGTGAAAAGTTTTTAAAGGTTATATGTCCCTTTTTTTTTTTTTTTCCGGTCTCGGTGTCTTATATCACATTATTACATGGTAAAAAAAAATATTTATTTTAATTATTTTTAAATAAAAAAATCAATCATGAAATAAAGAAACAAGTTGATTAGTGATTGCTGTCTCAAATAAAGAAAACGTTAAATTTCTTGAATGAAATATCTGAAAATATTTTATGAAGTTTTTAGAAATAATTTAGTATAGTAGGAAAAAAAAAAAAAAAAATTAAAAAGCAAAAGCTCGATCCTAGGCAACCCATTGCAAGGACACTTATTAATTTTAAAGTTTTAGTTTGTAAATAGTATTGACTTAGTTGTCTTATAATACTTTAGGATTAATAAGTTGTAATTTATTAGTGTATGTAATTAGATAGTATATATTAAAACAAACAATACAAAAAAGTGAAGAATTTTCATGGCTATTTTTAAAAAAAAAAAATTATTTTTAAATTATTTTTTTTTTTAAATCAAACATTGCTTCTCAAATAACTGCACGTCACAAGTTCGAATTTAATGAAACATTTACAGCACTTGCAATGCGGATGAGGGGTCACTGGGGTCGTTCCCTCCTTGCTGTGTCTGCCGTGCAATTGAAACGGCACCATTTTTTTTCTCTTCTTGGTGAGGATTACATGAATTCTTATTTATATCAAAACAATCAAGCTGTTGCCGTTATACATTTTTTTATTAAAAAAATTTTTAGACCATAAAATACATAACATTATCACAAAAATATATAACACTGTCATAAAATTATGTAAATTACTAAAAAAATACATAACATTGCTATAAAAAAATTTATGAATTACAAATTATCGTAACTCTTCAAAAAAAATTATATAATATTTATACAAAAATACATAACACATGCAAAAAAAAAAAAATGCATAGTAAATAAATTTTCTTATAATATATAATTGTGTTTCTCAGTCCATTCACAGAAAACAAACCAAACCAAACCATTATACTTGTTGAACTCACTAACATACTGTACAAAATAAAACATGAAGCATATATATAAATATATACATACATATAGATATAGATATACATACCAATTTATTGAACAATAATGGTCCATAAATCTGGCGAAAGGACGGTGAAGTGAAGACAGCGAACACCGCTATATCCATTTGAGAGAAGCAAAAAACGTAAAAAAATAAAATAAAATAAAAAAACTAGCTTTTCTACTTCATGTAAAGCGGTGACCTTTTACTTGAGAGGGAAGACGACAGCAACTTGATTGTTTTGTTATAATAAAATAAGAATTAATGTAATCCTCACAACAAAAAAAAAAACAAAAAAACAAAAAAAAAAGAAAGAAAGAAAAAAAGAAAAAAAGTGTTGTTTCAATAGCACGGCATGCATAGCAGGAAAGGAAGGACTGCAGATGAGGGGTCATTGCGGCCCTTCCTTTCCTGTTGTGCCTGCCGTGCTATTGAAACGACACCTTCTTTTTTTTGTTTTGTTTTGTTTTTGCTTTTGTTTTTGTTTTTCCCTCTTGGTGAGGATTACATTAATTCTTATTTTATTATAACAAAACAATCAAGCTCCTGTTGTTATACCTTTTTTTATTTAAAAAAATTTTTAGACCATAAAACGCGTAATATTATCACAAAAATATATAACACTGTTATAAAAATATGTAAATTACCACAAAAATACATAACATTGCTATAAAAAAATATTTATGAATTACAAATTATCGTAACTCTTCAAAAAAATTATATAATATTTATACGAAAATACATAACATATGCAAAAAAAAAAAATACATAATAAATAAATTTTTTTATAATATACAATTGTGTTTCTCAGTCCATTCACAGAAAATAAACCAAATCAAACCATTATACTTGTTAAATCTACTAACACAGTACAAAATAAAACATGAAGCATATATATATACACATACATATATATATACAGATACACATACCAATTTGTTGAACAATAATGGTCCATAAATCCGGCAAAAGGACGGTGAAACGAAAATAGCGAACACCGTTCAATCCGTTTGAGAGAAGCCAAAAATGTATAAAAATAAAATAAAATAAAAAAACTAACTTTTCTACTTCATGTAAAGCGGTGACCTTTTGCTTCAGAGGAAAGATGGCAGCAGCTTGATTGTTTTGTTATAATAAAATAAGAATTAATGTAATCCTCAGGGGAAAAAAAAAAAGAAGGTGAAAAAAGAAAGAGGTGCCATTTCAATAGCACGGCAAGCACAACAGGGAAAGAAGGACCGCAGTGACCCCTAATAATGCATGTAACATGGATTAGTCTGGGCAAAACTTTTCATACCAAAATAAATAAATACATGATATCAAGTTTTATTTTAGACTTACTTTTTAGAAATAATAATAAAAATGATTAACTGATGATTAGAAAATACATAAGAAAGAGTAGATTTAAATATTTTAATGGACTTACCTATCATTGAAGTTCAAAAGTAAATTTAACTTTTAGGTTAGTGTAGACTTAATAAAATAATTATTATTATTATAAAGATAGAACCAACTAGGCCTAATCTAGTTGGTCACTATACCTTTCTTAGGGCTCAGACTCAAAGAGGTCATAGGTTTAATTCCCTTTAAGGGAATTGAATGAAGAGAGTGCAAGCAGTTAGGCGTTTTGCCATATGGATGGAGAGATTTTCTCTTATAGGTGTTAATCTAACAATTAACAACTAACATTTACCGATCAAAAAAATTATAAAAATAGAGCGTCTTCTTTTTTCCTTCTTCTTTCTTCTGTTTTGTTTTTGTGTATAATTAATTTATTTTTTGGGAACTCATACTGATTCTGTTTATGTGAATTAAAGCTGGGAATGGCAAGTGCACTAGAGACCCTATGTGGGCAAGCCTTCGGGGCCAAAAAGTACCACATGTTAGGCACATACATGCAAAGATCATGGATTATTCTATTCCTCTGCTGTTTCCTTTTATTACCACTATACATATTCGCAACCCCGGTTCTCAAGCTCCTCGGACAGCCGGACGACGTGGCGGAGATGGCGGGACTGGTGGCTGTGTGGATGATTCCGTTACACTTCAGCTTTGCATTCACGTTCCCAATACAGAGATTCCTGCAGAGTCAACTGAGGACCGGGGTGCTGGCGTGGGTGTCATTGGTGGTGCTGGTGATTCACGTGGTGGTTAGTTGGCTATTTGTATATGTGCTCGATTTCGGGGTGGTCGGAGCCGCCGTGACGTTGGATGTGTCGTGGTGGTTGCTGTTTGCGGGAATGTTTGGGTATACTGTGAGGGGTGGATGTCCTGATACTTGGAGTGGTTTCTCAATGCAAGCGTTTGCTGGGCTTTGGGAGTTTGTGAAGCTCTCTGCTGCTTCTGGTGTCATGCTTTGGTAGGCTCTCTATCTCTCTTTGTGCAAATAATTATTGGGTGCCACCTCTACATTGTCACGAATGCATCTGAATTATTCATTCATATGATATGCCACCCCAAGTAAATGACCAAAATATGCTTAGTGATTTCTAATAAATTACAAAATAAAGGGTTAATTATACTTTTCACGTTTGTAATTTGATTTAAATTTTATTTTAGTTCTAATAGTTTTAGTTTAAATAATTTGGTCTTTATACTTTAAGTTGAGGTTTAATTTGGTTTTTTCATTTAAATTGAAAATTAAAATTAAAAATTTTGAATCACTTGTTATAATTTTAGGGTGTTCATTTGATTTTTTTTGGGGTCAAAATTAGAGGTTAAAATTAATAATTTTAGAATGTTTGTCAATTTTTTTAAGATGTACTTTAAACGAAAAGACTAAATTAAAACTATATTTAAAATTTTAAGATTAAATCATTCAAATTAAAATATATATAAATTAAAATAAAATTTAAGTAAAATCAAGAGTGAAAAGTGTAATTAGCCTATGAGACATGGTGTTCTGTATCTTTAGAGATGTGCAGGCACACATGGGTCATTATTATTAGTAGTTGGCAATTAAGTTTGTAGTTTCTCAAGGGGCCCTCCCTCTAGGAGGACTTTTGAAAGAATAAAATCTATTGTCGACTTATCAATTCAGATTTTTTAAGGTTGGTGGTTGTGTTAAAAATTAAATTTATGTAGTGTATAATTTATGTATAAAATTAATTTGAATCATAAAATAATAATTTTGAGTAATTGAGTATGAATTTGTAATATTACGATTTACATGCGTTTGTGCTCACGTCACTCTATTAGTAGCAGCGAAATTGTTCTTGATCACTAGTGTTGAAAATTTCACTCTATTCATTTGTTTGGCCTCACCTAAGAATCATTCAAATGAATAGTGTAGATAAAGATTTTACTACAAATTTTAGATATCAAAAATTAACTGGTGGTAAACAGGAAGTTTAATTTGAAAATTTTAATGACTCTTCAAATATATTTAAATTTGATTAATTTATTTTTTTGAGTAGATCATGAATAAATTTTAATTGCGTTAAACTTATCTTTATAGTGCATATAATAAAGTCGAGGTGCGTAGTATGTAATTTAAATTTGGCTTGAAAATTTATCAAATCTTAAAATATGTAAAAATCTAACATTATTACATAATAAATCCAACAATAATTGAGCTTGAATAATTTAGTTCGTTTTCAATCCAATTTACATAAATGTACCTAAGCATGTGCTCAGAAAAATATCATTTTCATATTCTTAACTTCTTTGATTGACATATATATCTGAAATGAAATTCAATTATGTTTATGTATAATTTCTTTTCTATGTACTGGATTAATGATATTCTTTCCAATCTAACTAAAGGTCCAATAAACTTTTCAATGTAACTCAAATTTTAAAAAAATCACTCACACATTATTAATTTTGTATTTTTTTTAATTTAAAAATTTTGGACTCGTTTGGAAAATAATTATTATAATTGACTTTTTGACTTTTTACAAAAAAATATATAGAAAAATAAAAAGAGGAATATGATAATTTATAATTTTTTTTTTTTACTTTTTAACTATATTTTTTGACTTTTTAATTGTATTAGTCAAATATTAAATAAGCTTACAATCAAAAAATTTCGTAAGTATAATGCTTTGCTTCTCTTTTTTTTCCTTCACGGTGTGAGAATATGACCCGTCATGTGCACAAAACAGTGAGGAGAATGATAAAGAATTCAAATTATAAATTGTATTCAAAATCCTTTGTTTTTTTACTCATGTTGTTGCACCAAACAGTGAGAAGAATGATAAAGAATTCAAATTATAAATTGTATTCAAAATCCTTTGTTTTTTTACCCATGTTGTTGCACCAAACAGTGAGGAGAATGATAAAGAATTCAAATTATAAATTGTATTCAAAATTCTTTGGGAACCTGGGTTCCAAATTTTTTTCTCATTTTTTCCACTAAAAGACAAACTTTTACAAAACCAAAAAAAACACATCCAAACAAAATATTACATCCAACCCCATAATCATTTCACTTTTTCTCTCACAAACATCACATCCAACCACATAAAAACCCAACTATCTTCCTAAACACTAAAAATTTTTTATCCAATAAAAACCTACAACTAAAAAAATGTACATAAAAACCTACTTCCCAAACACCATCTAACTCATATTGTTGCACCAAACAGTGAGGAGAATGATAGAGAATTCAAATTATAAATTGTATCTAAAACCCTTGGTTAAACTCATGTTGTACGACCAAAGCATGTCAGAGCATGTTTACTAGATTAGACCATATTTTGGACAATCCAGGTGGAAAATCTTCTTATTGTGTTTATTATTTATTGCAGTTTTTAAATTATTGATAAGCTTTTTATTTATTTATACCTGATTGATGCATGCAGCTTGGAGAATTGGTACTATAGAATTCTGATATTGATGACTGGGAATCTAGAAAATTCTACCATTGCGGTGGATGCTTTGTCTGTCTGGTATGTTAATTTTGTTCCCTCACTAATTTCCAATTGGTTATGTAATTAGCATAATTTAAAACTACGCATTAATTTTTCAGTTGTGATTAAGACCCCTTCAATCACCACTCCTACCACCCCCACACACGTGGGGACTAGTGATTGAAGGAGAAGGAAAAAAACAAAAAAACAAAAAAACAAAAAAAAAAATGGTCAATCACAGACAGAGAGGGTTCAAATCATTTTTTTTTTATTTTTTTAGATAAAAATTGGCTAAAATATAAGATCGAAAAAAATTTAAAAGCCTTGTTTGGTCTGTCTCTTAAGAGACAATTTTTTAGAAAACATTTAAAAAATTTGTTTAATTACTTTTCTCTTTAATACACATCAATCATTTTTTTTCTCTTCTCTGTCTTTCTCTTACATCGTACAACATCAATCAATCACTTTTTTTCTTACATCCATCTATTCAACTATAAAAAATAAAAAATAAATCATTCCAAACTCTAAAATTCTAAAACTATTTTCAAAATATATAGCTAAGCAAATTTTTAAATTTTGTGAATTCTTTCCAAAAAATTATTTTCTAAATTATTTCACAAATTCAAATCAAACATGGCCAAAATGTTTGAGAATGATTTATTTTTTTATTTTTTTTTATTTTTTTGACTTCTACAGAAAAACATGCAAAACATAGAAAAAAATAAAAATGAATGTATGACTTTTTTTAATAATTTCTGTACTTTGGCTAAACAACCCTAAATATTTTAAAATACTGTTAAATAGTTAGATCAACTAATTTACGCGTCATGCTAAGATGTCAAAATAATTAGAACCTTTATGCGATGTTAAAGTATTTTTATATTTCTACATATTTTTATACTAATTTATACATATTTTAATATTTTTTTACACATATTCCACAACTTGTATGCATAATTTTATAATTTAGAGTATTGATTCAAATCTTAAAAGTTGTTTCATATGAATGTAAGACCCATATAATATGAGTCCCACGCTCAAGAGAAAGATTTAGTAAAAAAATTTAGATTCTATAGAATTTTCCTTCAATAATACATGTTTGGAAAAAAATTCACAGAAAAATTTTCACAATGGAGTGTGATAACATTGTAATTACCCAAGTATACTAGCCATGTTTGGTAGGATTTATTTTTAACTTATTTCAGTTTTTAACTTAATTTAAGCTATTTTGATGTGTTTGGTTCAGCTTAATAATACAGCTTATAACTTTTTGTAAGTCAAAAATCAATTCTTTAAATGAGGAAGGAAAAACTTAATTTATAAGTTAAAAATCAATTTACGTTCACAACTATAAGTTATAAGTTGTAAGCTGCTAGATTATAAATAATCACTTTTTTACAATTCTACCAAACGGAGCAACTATCCGAAATGAATGCATTGATCGCAGAATAACATTGACCCATTCAAAATAAATGCAATGCTGCTAGCAAATTCTTACGTCTTTGGAAGAAAATTTTGATTTGAATTTTTTCCTAAAGTTTGGCAAGATTATTGACAACATTCATTTGTCTTTATTGTTGGAGTTGACAGCATGAGCATTAATGGGTGGGAATTGATGATTCCTCTAGCTTTCTTTGCTGCAACAGGGTATGTTTGGCCTTCCAATCTCTTTTTTTCCTTGTTAGGTTTAATTTTTTTATTCTGGCGTTATTTGGAATGTAGGTTTGCGTTAAATTAGTTAATATAAAAAAAAAACAAAAAAAAAATATTATTTTAGTTAATAAGATAAAATATCATATTCAAATTATAATTTTTTTTTACAATCATCAAATTATTTAAAAAATTAATTATTTTTTCAAACATAACTTTTTAATCAAATTTAAAATAACTAAAAAATTAAGCTAAAAAAATTTATCCAAAACAAAGGATTAGTTGTTGAAAATCTTCCTCAAAAAATTTATTGTTTTTATAATTACTACGTATGAACAAGTTGCTAGTTGCGTGAGGAAGGAAAAAAGAATATCAATCATCATAGTCCATGACTATTGTATAGTTTTTTCAAAATAATGTTACATACACTAATTAGTATATTAATTTATTATATAAATTATAAATTATATAAATTATAAATATTAAAAATATCTTAAATTATATCACATCATCAATTGATATACTAATTAATACATATAACATTACTTCTTTTCCAATGACAAATAATCATTAAAAACGACAAGTACATTCACACAAACCTCTCTACCGACTATAGAATGTTAAATGCCCACCAAACTCCAATTCTAACTCAATTTTGCTTTTTCTTTCTTTAGAGTTTTTCCAATCCAATCCTTTCCTTTCACAAAGAAATGAAAATAAATTTTTTTATTTAAAAAATAAATATAAAATATGTTATTATTTATTCAAATTTCAATCATAAATCTTCATTTTCTTCTCTAAATATTTCCTTCCAAAATTAACCATCAATTTTCACTCTATTAATTTTCTCTCCATCTATTTTCCTTACCATCTATTATTTTATAGAAAATTAATTCTGATTGTGCAAGATCTAATAAACTTTGCAACATTAATAATATTTAATTTTAAATTTTTTGTTAAATATATTTAATATTAGACTCATTTTAAAGAAATAATTTTAATATTTTTAATGATACCAAATTTATAAATTTAGATGCACATATTAAAAGTTATTTGTATTTAATAACATATAATAAAAAAATACAAAAGGATATAATTGATTTATAAATTTAAAAGCAAAAGGGCTTAAGGACAAAATTGATATTTAAAAAATATGAATAGTGTTATAGAGATCATCCTTCATTTTTCATACTCTCTCTATATTTGAAGGGTGAATATCCATCCTCTCAAATGGAGAAGGATATAGAGGATGGGTAGGAGCGGAAAATAGAGAGGGGGTGTTTCAAATTTGAAAATATAGAGCATGGTTGGAGATGCTCTTAAATAAAAGTTGTGTTTAATTAATTTATTTATTTATTTATATTTAATTAATATTTTCTTTTATTTTTTCATTCACTCAACAAATCACTACACAAATTTAACATTCAAACATACCGTAACTAAGGCCTCATTTGAGAATAAATTACTTTAGTAAGTTTTTAATTTTTTACAAAAGTATATACAGAAAAATAGAGAGAATGATGTGATAATTTATAATGATTTTTTAACTTTTTGACTAAAACAGAAAGTTGTCAAACGAGGCCTTAATTTTGTTTTGATGGTGCGTTTTTTCTTTTTCTCAATTGCAATATTTTTTTTAATTTAAATTATCCACAAAACATGTTTTTATATAAAATTTTTTATTTAAAATGATATTTGGTGATATTTTTAAAAGTATGAACTATCACAAAATATTTTAAAAAATCCTAATTCATATTAGATTATGAGTTATGTTAGAAATTCTAAATAATTTATTAAATTTTTTATCAAACCTTTGACATGAATATAAAATGCACACATATATAACAAATTTAATAAAATTTTTGATAGATTGTTTAAAATTCATAACATTTTTCTTAGATTACCTTTGTTCTACTGCTGTCTTCTCCGTCGATAAAGTTTGGTTTATCAAGTTTCAACCAAACCACAACACCCAATCACTGGCCCATAATTTAAAAAGGAATGAAACAACCCCCATTTGTTTGTTCTTTGTTGCCTTTTTCTTTACAATTTTTTTTTTTTTCCATATATACATCTTACAGTAAAATAAAAAGTGTGTTTATTTATTCGTTGTAATTTTAAAAGAAAAATGATATACGGTTTGATTCATAATTACAAAATTTTATGCATTTTGTCCCTTATTTTATTTTGGTCATTGCACTTTCAATTTACTTGTTTTTTATATTTTAGTTTAATTTTGTATTAATTTAACCCAATTAATAGCACCAAATAAGATTTTTGATAAAAAAATAAGTGATGACTTAGTTGAGGTTAATTATCTATTTGAGATTGATCATAAACGTATCAAACAAAGACTGAAGAACAAAAATTTTAGAACCAAGAGATCCTTGCCTAAAAAACTAGCCGATTACTTTTGTTTCCTTAATGATATATTGTTGTTCTTTTAGATTATATTTAGATTATAAATTTAAGTAGAAATTTGAAAAAAGAAAATAAAATAAAAAATAATATATATATATATATATATATATTTTTATTCATATTTTTCTATTCTCTTTCTAAATTGCCCAAATCAATAATCCAAATACAACTTTAATGGTATTTGATTGTACACTTTCCCAGAGAGGAACAAAATTAGCTCCTTACTCCTTTTGCGTTAATAATGTATAGCTTAATGTGACACACACTAGAACAAGGTTTTGAAAACCGGATCAAATTGGCCGATTTGACCAGTTGAACTATTGACTAGTTTGGATTTTGGTCTGGATATATCATCTAAACCATTCGAAGCCAAAAACCGACATATTTAGAGAGAACCGGAAAAACCGACGATTGAACTAGTGAACTAGTTGATCTGAGGACGGTTCGCTCGGGTCAATGAAATTGAAAATTTTGATTTTTTTTTTTTTGTGTGTGTATAAAACTTAAAAATTTATATATCTATAAAGGAGTATGATGATGAAACATTGATGTACAGAATATAAGAAAATTTTAATTAGAAACTCTCTTTTAAGGGTCTCTTTTTGTGAAGAATCCCATTAAGAGCTTGAAATTTGTTAATGTATATATTAGATTTAGATTTATCTCTATTTCCTTGTATCTCTATCTCTCTCTATCTCTATCTCTTTCTATACTTATCTAAGTTTGTGTTCAGCCTATAAATATAGGCTCTCCTATTGTATTTAGGGCTGCAAATGAACAGAATCGTTCGTGAACAAGCTCGAGCTCGGCTCGGTAAGAGCTCGTTTGAACTCGGTTCGTTAATTTTTTTTGTCGTTCGAGCTCGAGCTCGTTAAATTTTTAATAAATAAGGCCAAACATTCTAAAGCTCGGCTCGTTAGCTGGCTCGTTTAATATTTATTATTTATATATTAAATAATATAAAATTATGTATAAAAGATAAGAGAAATATGTTATTTATATGTTTAAAAAATATAAATGTAAATAATACTTAACTATAGATAGTACATTTATATAATAGTGGTAGTAGATATTATTATTTTAGAAAAATATGGATTTTTTTTTAGTATGTTTATATATATTGTATATATAATTGTATAATCAAAGTTTTAATTGTAACTTTAGTCTCACATGCAAGTATGAATTTATAAATTTTTTGATTTGTTAAGGTTCGTGAACGGGCTTGAGCTCGAGTCGAGCCTAAGCCAACTCGGCTCGAACTCGGTTCGTTAAATTTTTATTCAGTTCGAGCTCAAGCTTGAACTCGTTAAAATCTTAATAAACAAGCCCAAACACACTAAAGTTCGGCTCGGCTGGGCTTGGCTTGTTTGCAGCCCTAATTGTATTCAATTAATTCAATATACACAAATATATAGTTTTCCTTTTCTTTCAACCATTCTAACATGGTATCAGAGCGCAGGTCTTAAATCCTAGCTCCTCTTTTCTCTTGCTTATTGCTCATACACAGTGGCATTATCAAAGCACAAAGCACAGGATTCCAGATTATACCATTATTTGTTTAACAACACTATTTCGTCATCGTTGTTCACCAAACTTTTACAAATTTTTTACCCTCGTGCTCGGAATTCTCTCCAGGTTCCAACGCCACCAAGCCTGTCACCAAACACCACCAGACGCGCCCTCACGTGCCGTTTTTATCGTCAGTGCATCAAGTCTTTAGCCACCACCCTCACGCGCGCCCTCACGCGCATTTCAATTGCCACTCACGTCAGCCTGACGTCAGCCCTTCCTGTGCCCTCCGTGTGCCGTCCTGCTACTGTGAGCTGCGCGCCATCTCTGCTATCCTACGTCGCGCCTCCAGTCTGCTAACGTGCACCGCGCCTTTTGCTAATGTCATCCATGCCCTGCTGACATCATCTCTGGCCCTTCTCTTTATTTTGCCTAATTTTTGGTGATTTCATCCATTTCTCGAATATTTTCGACGTTCTGGATTCATTGGTGCACTCTGTTTTATCTAGTTCTACTCCGCCATCACTGGTTCTCCTGTATGATTCATTATTTAATCATCTCATGGCTCATTCAGACAGTTATCCTCTGCATGGTTATTATTCTGGACCCTCTACAGTATATAGCCGAAATCAATGTTTAGCACATTTTGCATGTACTATAGTTGCCTTTGGTTCCTCATCCGTTGTTGCCCCTTCACCACCCTGTCAAAAAGGTTATTTCTATCTCTGGTACACCCGCTACTGTCCTCTTAGTTACTCCAAATACCTCTTCTTGGCATTTTGATTCCGTTTGGTGCAACCACATAACCTCTGACCCTACATTGTTTTTTTCCACTACATGTCCTTCTAATTTACCTAGCATTCATATTGTTGATGGTTCTCAAATGCATGTTAGTCGTGTCCATCATATTTCTACCTCTAATGTCTCTCTCCCTCACACTTATCTGATCCCTAATCTTACCCTTAATCTTATCTCTATTGGTCAACTCTGTGATCTTGGCCTCAATGTTCTATTTTCTCTAACTGGTTGTGTTGTGCAGGATCCAAAGACGAGACAAACCCTCGGGA